GATAAGAGTCAATACAGAATTCTCAGCTAACACTTAGAGGCACTTTCCTTTTTATTTATTTCTCATGCAGTTGAGAACAGGTATTTCTGAGGCCAGCAGTCCCAGTGTGGCCCATACTGAGTTCTGACATTAGCTATTCCTAACGTTAGATTCCCCGAAGGGGTGAGTGTAGGTAGCATCTTCGAATCAAGGATGCTGTGCTTCAAGGGGCTGCCGGTGGATCTCCGTCTGATGGGTAGCAGTCATGAAACTGATCGCCGCTGAGTCTCCTGGGGTGAACGTGGTTGTCATCCAAGCTGGGACCTGCTGAGAGAGAGGGGGGATGCTGCTAATGGACACAGGGGACACTGGGTATACACAGTAGGGCCTCTTTTGTTTTTGTTAATCATCACCCGAGGATATTTTTCCATTGAGCAAATTATACCACCTCTTTGAACCTCGGTTTCCTCATCTGTTAAGTGAGAATACTATATTGCAAGATTTATGAGATTAGAAGTGACTCTGTAATACCTGGCACATGAGATCTTCAGCAAATGTTGCTGGTGTTGTTATTAGCAAGTGGCACGAATTGAAAGAGAATCAGCAAATAGGTTGAGTGGTGAAACCCTGAAGCTGACATGGCTGAGTGGTCACTCAGGAACCTGGCAGATTCAGAGCGGCATGGAGGGCAGGAAGCCCAGGCAGGACGACTGCTGTGTTCCCAGGCGTGGGGAGCCAGTGGGAGGAGATGAGCATGGCCAGCAGGAGTGGAGATGAGCATGGCCAGCGGGAGTGGAGATGAGCCTGGCCAGCGGGAGTGGAGATGAGCATGGCCAGCGGGAGTGGAGATGAGCATGGCCAGCGGGAGTGGAGATGAGCCTGGCCAGTGGGAGTGGAGATGAGCATGGCCAGCGGGAGTGGAGATGAGCATGGCCAGCGGGAGTGGAGATGAGCATGGCCAGTGGGAGGAGATGAGCATGGCCAGCGGGAGTGGAGATGAGCATGGCCAGCGGGAGTGGAGATGAGCATGGCCAGCGGGAGGAGATGAGCATGGCCAGCGGGAGTGGAGATGAGCATGGCCAGCGGGAGGAGATGAGCATGGCCAGCGGGAGTGGAGATGAGCATGGCCAGCGGGAGTGGAGATGAGCATGGCCAGCGGGAGTGGAGATGAGCATGGCCAGTGGCAGTGGAGATGAGCATGGCCAGCGGGAGTGGAGATGAGCATGGCCAACGGGAGGAGATGAGCATGGGTTCAGAGGTGTCTGCTGTCACACATCTTTATGCCTTTAGACAAGCCACTTGCCTCATGAATCTCAGTTTCCTCATCTGTCAAATTGAATGAGACTGCATTAATCCAATGACCCTCCGGGCCCACATCTGATAGAGCTGCTGCCACCAGGAACTGAGGATCTCCTGTCCTGTGCCGCTTGCCAGCTGTCCCCTCTCCGTGGTGGGAGTTGTTACTTCAGTGTGCTCAACTTGAAGAGCAGGCGCCTGGGGCCACGAGGATCCCGCCAGGCAAAGCCAGGCAGGGCGAGGGTGCGGCCTGGCCCTGGTCAGTGCCCTGAACTCCTCACTCCGTTTGCACTGTCTTGTGGTGAAGCCAGTGAGGGGAGGGACACTGTTTTAAAGGCCAGGAGAGAAGCTGCCTCGTTTGTGCTCTGACTTGCATTCCACATTCCCGATTTGATTACTTGACCCCCTTTCCTCTCAGAACGACACGAAGGTTTTGGAGCAGCCGATAGTCGTGCAGAGTGTGGGCACCGATGGCCGTGTCTTCCACTTCCTGGTCCTGCAGCTGAACACCACAGACCTGGCCTCCAGCGAGGGCATCAAGAACCTGGTCTGGATGGACTCAGACCAGCTCCTCTATCAGCATTTTTGGTGCCGCCCAGTGATCAAAAAGAGAGTGGTGGTGGTAAGTCCAGCCATTCAGCCTGTGACTCTCCCTCCCCAGGGTGAGCAGAAATGGGGTTGAGGGGGTACTCATGTGTGGGGCCCTGGCTTTAGGAGCTTGATGCCAAGGACCTCTGACTGGAGGGCTCCTTCAGTCATGGCCAACCCTAAAACAACATCTTCCACCCTGAGCCCTGCCCAGCTCTTCCCCTCCCTCCCGCTTCCCTCTGCACCACCACGCCCAGCACCTCAGCTCCCCAGTGTGCCCTGCACTTAAGCAGCTCGGGATCCTGGTGGATGCTGCAAAGGAGGCTTCTCCCTCCCCCCCACCCCCACCCCCCCATTTTCCTTCCATTGGCCACCCTCCACTTGTCTTTCCAGGTTTAGCTTAAGGCCCCACCACCCACCCCACAGCTCCTGTACTCCGTCATACACGATCACGTTCTGCATCACCTGTTCACGTTTTTCTCCCTCACGCCCAGCTCCAAGCTCCTTGAAGGCAGGGCCGTGAGCGATGCGTTCATCCATTTCATTCCACAGGGAGGGAGCTCCTCCCATGCCCACTGCCCTCCCAGTGCCAGCTGAGCCAGCCTGCTTCCTGTGGGGTGGGCGGCACAGCATCTAAATTCCTAATGTAAAGCCAGGCAGCGATAAGCACCGAGGAGCCATGAGGTGGGATCGGGGTGAGAGAACAGGGCGCTGCTGGATCTGACTGGCTGTGTCCATGTCCCTCACGGGCCTTGTTCACCCTCGGAACATGGCCAGCATGTCGTTGGTTAGTTAGATTTGAAGGGCCCAGGCTCAGGAGGAATTAGTTAGATCTGCTGGAGATCTAACTAATTCCTCCTGAGCCTGGGCCCTTCTCTTTGCCCCAGACAGTGTGTCCCACCTGCACAGCCTCTCCCGCCTCCTCCCGCCTCTCTGCCCTCGGTCCTGCTCCCCCTCCCCCTGCACGCCTCTCCTCTTCCTTCAGATCACTGAGTGCCAGGCCATCCTGGAGTGGCCAGTGGCTCCTCTTTCCCGCTCAGTACAGCTCCTGCTCCCACCTGCCTCTTCTCCCGGCCCCTACCGCCCCACCAGCATCAGCCTTCTCGCCCTTGCACTTCCTGCCTGTGTGTGTCCCTCTGTACAGCACATGTACTGGTCTCTCTGAAGTCTCCTTCGTTTCTTTTTCTTTCTGCCCCATTCTAATTGCCCTTTAAGATTCACACACACACACCCCACCCCAAAAAAGACTCATTTATACATGATCTCCTCTGTGAATGGAAGTCAATGAGTTGGTCATTTTCTCCTGTTTCCCCGCCCACCCCCTCATCTTTTTCCTACTTTACTTCTGCTCTGAGGCGTATCATCTTTTATTGTCCCATTTGGCCACCTGGCTGTAAGCTCTGTGAGGGCAGGGGTCTGATTCACGTCACTGCGGGTTTCCAGCACAGCCCCGTGCAGAGAAGGTGCCTCACAGATGTGTGGAGCGCGCGAGTGCTTATTTATTGTTCCTGGGATGAGGAGGCGCAGCAGGCCATTGGCTTGTGGTGGGTGAAGTCAAAGGGATTGGGTCAGGTCGGGGTAAGATTTGGAGAAGAAGCTGGGAGTGCTTCATGTCCTCTCGACTCTTGGGTCCCCCTCCGGCGCCAATGCCTAGGCCCTTCCTTGGTCCATGAGAGAAAGAAACAGTTACTGTCCAGGTACTTAGGATTTACGTGAAATCAACCTTTGGCTTAATTGCTGCCATTACACTTAGAGGATCCTAATGGACTGTGTTCTTTCCAGGAACCTGTTGGGCCCGTTGACTTCCAGCCGGAGACGTTTAAGAAGTTTTTAGCTCTGTATCTGCACGGCGCTGTGTGAGCCCCGGCCCTTTCTGAGGCCCGCAGTCCTCTCTCGCTCCCCCTCTGAAGAGCCTCCATCCCGGCTGAGCCTGGGTCCCGCTGACAATAAAGAGCTTCCGGGGCGCTGGAGCCGTGCTGCGTGCGGTGCTGTCTGCAGGGGCGCCGTGGTTGCTGTGGGCCATGCATTGCACCTGCCTCCACACGAGTGCAGGCCCTGCCGTGTGACCTGCCCCAGCTCTGCCCACGCAGAGTCTTCCTCTCTGAGCTTGTTCCTTCGTCTGAAACTTGGGCTAATAGGATCTACCTTGTTTTGAAGACTGTGGCTTCAAAACATGATCATGGGTGTCGGTGACAGGATTATGTAAATTGTGGGCACTTCCCACGGTGACTGCAGAACAGCTGAGCACTGTCGTAGGTCCGCACCCTGTCCTGCCTAATGGATCAGCATATCCCTGCGCAGCTCGCCTCTGTTCCGAGCACCAAGGCCTGCTCTGGCCGGGCCCTGCGCACAGCCCGTGATCCTCGCACCGCCCTGGCGAGGTCAGTGTCGTTTCCATATTCAAGAAAAATGTCGAGGGCCTCTTAGTGTGAGACACTGTGCCAGGCCCTACAGATGTGGAGACACGGTGTAAGGAGTGAGTCCAAGGCTACCCAGCTGATGTTTCAGGTCGGCTTCCCCAGGAAACATGGCGATGGGCAGGGAAAGTGTGGGAGAGCCTTCGTCAGCCCCTGTGGAGGGTGAGGGTGGCAGCATGGGGTGGAGGAGAGACTGAGCTGCTGGGTGTGCACCCGAGGCCTCGGCCATTTCTGATTCTTTGGGTCCCACCAGAGGGGAGGTGCCGAGCTTTTCAGCAAACCATCGGGTGTGCACTGCCCCCCAGAACTGGGGGGCCTTGGGTTGGGTGGCTTTGCTGGGTTGAGTGCAAATCTCAGAGGGACTGCTGAGAGCAGCGGGGCGTGGATACTTCCTGCTCTGAAGAGGGAATGACCCTGGGCTGGCATTCCTGCCGCTGTGTAACTCACCTCTGGCTCCGCAGGGACGGGAGGGGCGGCAGAAAGGTTTATTGGGAAAAGGACGGATCACACCGGTGGTGTGAGGGGGTCTCTGGGGACACAACATGGTCTGAAAAAGTGGGGACTCAGGATTCTGCCAAGTCAGGGAGGTTGGAGTGAGGTTGGCATGGCCAACTCACAAGGGGCCTTGAATGCCTAGCACCCCAGTCTTCCCATGGCAAGTGATCTGGTGGGGCCATTGGAATCACTGAGCCTGGTGCCCATTTTATTTTAAAGATAACGGTGCTCGCTTCGGCGGCACATATACTAGAAGTGGGACAATACAGAGATTAGCATGGCCCCTGTGCAGGGGGGACACCCAAGTTCATGAAGCATTTCATGTTTTAAAAGTAAATAAAATTATTACATATAAATGGTGAAAATTGAAAGAACTTAGAAGTACACTATAAAAGTGGAAGTCACCCCATCCGAGGCAATCCTTAATCCTTATCCCTAGGAATAACAGCGTCAAGGTTTCATACATGGTACCGTTAGTGTGTAGTGGAATAATATGTATGTTACTAGTGCCCTATTGATAGGTTTCAGCACCTTCCTTCCTGCCCCATCAGCACACGTGGGCTGCCTTGTTCTTTTAGCGGCTGCATGAATATCTGTTGATGGACAGGTTATCTCCAGCTGTTAGCTACTGCAAATAATGCTGCAGTGAGCGTCCTTGGTCATGTATCTTCGAGTCCTTTTGCCAGCATAGCCCTCGGATAAATTCCTAGCGGAATTGCTGAGTCAAAGGGATTTTGAACACACTGGCGATTGTGGAGGACAAGTTGGCAGGGTGACTGCACGGAGCCCAGCTGGAAGCCATTGCGGTAATTCTTGGGTGAGCGATGGTGGTGGCTTGAAGCCAGGCTGAGCAGGCTGAAGGCCTTGGAGCTGGGGGAGGAGTGGGGAGTGAGCGAAGGAAGCCTGAGTGGTGAGGCCATGGGGAAGCAGATGGGACCTTGCAGCTTGAGGACCGCCCTCCTTCAGCTCCCGAGTGAGGACAGCCCTGTGGCTGGACTCGGTGTGTCCTCCTTGGACCTCGGAGCTCAGCCTTGGAGCTTGGTGCCCACTGCCCTCTGACTTCAAGGCCCTCCAGCAGACCTGCAAGGTGAGGCCAGCGGGATGGTGGCTTTTGTTCTCCCCACAGACGAGGAAACAGGCCCAGAGACCACGTGGTGTAGTGACAGCAACCCCTCCACAGAGCTGGTCCACCTACCTCCTCAGCACCGTCATTCCTTTCCCCCTTAAACACAGGGAGGGGAGAAATACAGGATGATTTTTTAAGGCCCGTTTGGCATCAGGCCTGAGAACAGACTATTTACCTCTCAGTGAGTCCGGGGAGGGAGTAGAGGTACTGTGGGGGGAATGGGAGGTCACACTACAGGCATAAAAACCCGCTTACAGCCCAGCCAGTGTGGCGCAGTGGTTGAACATTGATCTGTGAACCAGGAGGTCATGATTCAATTCCTGGTCAGGCCACATAGCCAGGTTTCAGGTTTGATCCCCAGTAGGGGGCATACAAGAGGCAGCCAATCAATGGTCCTCATCCTTGATGTTTCTACCTCTCCCTCTAAAATCAATAAAAATATTTTTAAAATAATAACCCACTTACAGGGACTTGAGCAACAGACTTGGAACAAAAATTTTGACACTGCCTTTGTGAATATATTCTCATCAGGTCAGATTTGTGTCTTGATGGTTAAAAGTTTCTTCGATTCACTTTCAGCAAAGGGCTGGGGGAAACCATTTCTAAGAGCCTCCTATATTCCAGCTTCCTTCTCAGATCATCTGTTTCCTCATCTGCAAAACGGGATGAAGCACCTCTGTTTCAGGTTCCCCCCTTAGATTACTAAGCTGCACCTGTTCAGGTTTCAAGGCACTGGATCTGGAGCTTTTCAGAACCTGTGGGCTGCTCTCCCCGAGGCAGGATGGACCAGGGAGGCTCGCCAGAGGCTCTGTCCCTCAGCTGCAAGCCCAGTGCTGGCAAAGGAGCAGGCCGGGCCCCTCTGGCTCCGCACAGGACCTCCCTGCTTCCTGCTCTGGTGGGAGGAAGTCCCTTACAGCCAGCCTGTGACCTGAGTGCAGACACACACCACCGAGACACGTGGGCCTCCCTGCTTGGCTACTGGAAGACCACCTCTTACAGGGACCCTCTCCCCAGCGGTCTGGGAGCCTCCAGGGATGGGTGCTTGCTACAGAGCGGTCCTGGGGCCCACCCTCACCTCAGGCGAGCTCTCAGGCACTTGGTTCATTCATCCCACGAGGGCCTGTGAGCATCTCCTATGTGGCAAGCCTGCCACAGGCCTGCGAATAGAGCAGTGAACCAAGTAAGGGCCTTGCCCTCCACATTTACCTTCTCACCTTCTGAGGGAGGAGGGCGGGGGTGCCACAGGGGGTGGTGGGGTGGCAACAAGGAGGGGCGGGGATGGGGGGGAGGGTAGCAGGCTGTCTTTGACAGGCAGAGGGAGAGTGTGTCAGGAGTACTGGGGAGCACTCGCCAGCAGCCTGTAAGCAAGTGAGGAGGTGAATAATCTGCACTTGACCCGGAGGTTCCAAGGAGCTGGGTCTGGAGCTTTACAGAAGCCCCGTGAAAAGGCGGCTTCCCCTGTAGGCTGCCGCTATGCGAGGAGGACCGAGGCTTGGCTGATCTACAGGGAACTAGGAGCTGAATGATCCTTCAGGGTTTCCTGAATTGAGGCAAAGTGGTGGGGCCCTGAGGTCCCCCATCAGCCGTAGACCACTGGCCACCACCTGGGAGAAGGCGAAACCGAGCAGGCATTTCCATGGGCCCAGGCACTGCCCAGGAAGGGACACAGTGCTGAGCCAACTGCATCTGGTGAGGCAGAGGGGACAGGCCAGGGAGGCCTCTGAGCAGACCCTGAGTGAAGTGGGAGCAGGCTGCGACGGTGGCTGGAATGGGAGGGGATTGGTGCGTTTGCAGGACAGTGCGAGGCTCCCTCATCAGAACCCACCTTCCTGGCACCTCCTGCAGCGCGCACACCCACACACACACCCACACCCACCCACCCACACACACACACACACACACACCATGGGTCTCCAACTACCCAGCCGGGGCCGCCTTGATAGAACTCAAGGTCAGGCCGGGACCGGTTTGGCTCAGTGGTAGAGCATCGGCCTGCAGTCTGAAAGGTCCCGGGCTCGATTCCAGTCAAGGGCATGTACCTTGGTTGCAGGCACATCCCCTGTGGGGGGTGTGCAAGAGGCGGCTGGTCGATGTTTCTCTCTCATCGACGTTTCTAACTCTCTGTCCCTCTCAATTCCTCTCTGTGTAAAATCAATAAAATATATAAAAAATTAAAAAAATTAAAAAAAAGAACTCAAGGTCAGGACAGGGGGCTTCCCACTACAGACCTCCTCTAGGGGCAGTCCAACAATTTCAGCCCATTTTATAAACACCTACTGTGTGCCAAACCTTGTGGGAGTCATAGATTCAGGTCGAGAGAGACATGGTCCCAGCCCTCACGGAGCACCCAGCTGGCTGACGGACACTCACAGAGCAGCCACAGGCCACCTCTTTCCCACACCTGCGCAGGCCGACTGCGCAAACACCGAGTTACTCCATGAACACTCACAGCATGTGCTGGCTGATCTGGGGCAGGGAGCACCCATTTCCTGGCTCCGGGGAGCTCCCAGCCTGATGGGGGAGCAGACACTGAGCCAGTGCAGCCAAGGGAGGAAGCCCCTAACGCAGCCAGAACTCCTGAGAGGGACCACTTGAGCTGGTTCTGAAGGGCAAGCGGGAGAGACGTGCAGAGAAAACACAGCAAGAGCACGGCCCCTCGTGGGAAAGTCTCCGTGGCGGGGCCTGCAGTGCGGAGGGCGGTCAGGCGGGTCTAAGCGAAGGGCACGGGCCTGCGTCCTGGCCACAGCGACCCTGGGCACTCTGCTCCTCGTGTCCTCCACGTGCCCCCCCACCCCCGTTCCTGCCCCGGCACCTTGCTGTCTCACTCGTTTCTCTGCCTCCTTTGCTGGTTCCTGTCTCCCCGCTCTCATTGCTGAGAGTCCTTGGGCCCTTGTCCACCCGCTCTCCAGATGACCCCAGCAAGGCTCGTGGCTTCAAAGACTTCCCAAACGCCAACGACTCCCAGAGTGCGTCTCCAGCCCGGACTGCCTCCTGGACATCTCCGCCTGGATGCCTTCCGCACAGCATCCTGCTCCTCCTGCCGCCTGCCCCGCCTCAGCGAGGGCAGCTCCGTCCTTCCACGTGTGGGTGTGTGCTTTTTAACATTTTAAAAATTTATTTATTTATTTTTTATTTATTTTAGAGAGAGAAACATCAATGTGAGGAGACATCCATCAGCTGCCTCCTGCACACCCCGCACTGGGGATGGAGCCCTCCACCCCTTCAGTGCAGGGATGACGCCCAGCCAGCGGAGCCACACTGGCCAGGATGTGTGGTAGGGCGTGGGGTGTCCTCACACCCCAGCGGGGGCACACGGCAGGCTCTCACTGCAGATATCATGACCATATCCCCGGTGCCAGGACAGTCCTGGCACGTAGGTGCTCGATGAAGACGAGTGGATGGAGTGTGCTGCTCAGAAACGAGTGAGCTCCTTGAGGCAGCGGAGGGCTGAGATGGGGGCCGGATACCAAGGCAGCGGCTGCTACGTCCAGGTAGCAGACGCCAAGGACGGGGCTCCACAGGCCTCTGGGAAGATTGCTGCCCCAGGGCTGGACCCTGTAGCTTCAGCACCCTCCTCTTGGTCTGGTCTTTTGTGCCCAGTAGCCCCGGTGACAATGCCCAGGGAGCCCAGGGCAGAGGCAGGCACATCAACGGCACCCCGTCTTCTCCCGCAGCCCAGGGGAGACCAGCTCCCTTCAGTTCGGGGCGGACGCTCACAGAAGCCCAGGCTGTGCTCCAGGTTCCGCCCCGGAGCCTGTGCACCTGCTCGGGCGGCAGAGCCAGGGCGGGGGTCCTCAGGGTGACCTGGGCTTCCGGCTGAACAGCACCAGCCCGGCTGAGCCCAGCCCCGAGTCCTGCTCTGGCCCTGCACCTTGCTGGCGTCAGCTGGTTTGCCTCCAGGTTCTCCTTTTCGGGCTCCAGGGAGGGGTGCCCAGCCTGGAGGGAGGGGGTCTCTAGCCAGGCCTGCTTTTTCTGACTCAGGCCAGCCCTCACTCTGGACCCCCAGGGCGGCTGTCCCCTCGAAGGGGGACTTTTATGGACAGTGATGCTGGCAGGGGGAGCTTGGGCCTCTGGCCTGGCTCCTCCAGTCTGGCCGTGTCAGGGATGGGCTGCAGCCCCCCTGAAAGCACAGGAAGGACACCCCCTCCCCCACCTCCTCTCACTCAGGACCCTTCTGGCTGCTGGGCCTGGATCTGGCCGGGC